TGTGTGTGTGTGAGGCTATATACAGATTGCTACGCTGAGATTCAGATAGTCTTCTATATCTATGACTGCATCTCTTGGGTTTGCTTTAAGGTTAATGTGGCTGCCTAAGGTATTGAGGTACCAACACATATCGAGTGAATTTGAGTAAAGGCGTCCCCGAAACGAATAAAATTGAAAATATGTTGATATGGGGGAACTTTTTTAAAAGAAATTGATGATCGCTGTAAAGGTACTTGTGATCTGTACTCGACACTTTAATGGGATATTAAATTGGTAATATTTATTTAGTGTTCTCTCATTTAAGCAGTTTACTTATGTTTATATCTTGAATCCTGTTCTGACTATTTTTTGTATATTTTTTAAAACAATTTTGGGGAAAGCTTAACTCAGGCCACTCTCAATGGATGGTATTTACTCAGATTTACTCAGTTCCTAATCTATGTATGAGGGGAGTTGGGAAGGTTTCGAGGTGTATGGGAATTTATGGTGGCTATACTTATGTGGAATTGGTTCACTACGCTTGTGTAAAATATGCGCTAAATGTGATCTAAAGGCTAATCGGCTACGTTAACATTTGGTTTTCATTTATTCATATTTTTTTTGTATAAAGTTTTCCATTTACTTTTCCTGCTGCTTTTCACTTATTGGTTTATTTGGTGTTCTGTCTGTCTATTGCTTTCATTCTATTAGTTTAATCAATATTTTCCGTCTACCTCTACGAGTACTATTTTTTTCGGATTGGGATTATAGCGTATATAATTTACAAATATTGTATTCCGGTAAACAAAGCGGGGCGTTATCGGGTTCTGTTCTCGATAATCATTTGGTTTTGGGTATAGTTTTGTTTTGTTTGTTTTTTTTTTTTTCATGGAAAAAAGTTAACTATGTTAGTATATATATATATATATATATATATAAATATAAATATATATGTCGATCTATATATGTATATATAGAGTTTTTCTCTCTTTTAATATAATTTAAAAACAGTTATGTTACTTATTTAAATTTACAGATTGCATTCGTTTTTTTATATAGAAATAAACCTATTTGTGTTGATTCTTTTAATAATTTGTTGTTTTTTTTTTTGGCTTAAAATTTTTTTTTTATTTATTTTTTTTTTGTAGCCTGTATAAAACTCTGCCCACTAAATTTTTACAATTTACTTGATTGCTTGCCGAGAATCCGAGAATTGATCTTGGTTAAATATTTATCCACGTGTTCTCTGGTGTGGTCTACAATTTTAAATATAAAAAAAAACACGAAGGAGATTCACAATATTTATATACGTTTTTTTTTATATACAATCTATAAGCAGGGACTGAGGACTGAGAGGATGGCCAGCGCCTCACTGGTCCACAGCTCGACCCTGGCCTAACGGGAACAGCTGGTTTGGATACTTGCGATACAGTATATCTAAATATATTATGTAGTAAGTATTGTACATATACATATCTATGACACTACGCAATCCTCAGGACAGTGGCAGTTTCTTTTATAGTTTTGTTTCGATGCTTTTGAGGATGGTTTGTTATGGGATGATGGTTTGGGGCTGGGAGGTGTGGGGAGGGTTTTGGTTACTGCTTTGACCAGCACAAGCAATCAATGACATGGACCGCAGTCTGATGATGATCGTCGCCTGGGAAGGGTAAAGAAAATTAGGGGACTTAATGAAAAATTTTGATAAATATTCTTAATAAATTGCTTACAAATTGTAAATACCATAACATTTTGCCAAAATCTTGCGTAACTTATTTTTTAATCATTGGAGTTTTTAATGTATAAAAATAAAAATTAATAAACTTTTAACTGTATAGCTCTGAAAATGTTCTAAAAATTTATCGAAATTGTGTGTAAATAAAGTTCCTGAATAAATAAAAAATAATTTATAACAAATAAAACAAACGTTGATTATTTTTGGTGTTTTTGTTTTTTTTTTTCGTTTTTTTTTTTTGCGTTTTGAAATAAATCCAAAAAACCATATTTATTCAAAACTGCATTAGGTGTAAATATAAAAAAATGTTTTTTTTTCTGGGCGTGTATAAATATAGAACTTGATGTTTAAAAAAAAAATATTTATGCTTCATATACATAATAAAAAAGCGTTGAAAAAATTCAAATGTATTCAAAAAATAAACACAATTTGTAAAGCAAAAAATATTATTTTTGTTGGTTTTTTGTTTTTTTTTTTTTTTTTTTTGTTAAATTGTATAAATAGAAACTTCTCTCCTGCTAATTCTTTTTCAACTAACAAAATTCTAGATCAATGTTTTTGCTTCATCAACAAAAAACTATCCTATAATTTATATATATTGTATATGAAAAAGGTAATGTCTATAAACTATAAAGAAATCTGTTCAGATTGTTTCAGTATTCAGATCTCTTCATCAGAGACAGGCAATCAGGTCCGAAGTGTCTGCCTGTCACCGCATAAAGTAATATAAATATTATAAAGAAATTGCAGCAGTTTGTCTTAAATATTTGCTGTCCATGGATTCTTATACTCGTATATAGATACATAGATATATTTATGCCCTGCCGGCCTTACGATATGCTCAAATAGTTGGCTAAATCTTGAAAAAACCAATTTCCAAAAACTAAGCTTAAATTGCTTCCGTAAAGATTTTCCAAAAGATATTTCCACACTCTCAGTATACCTAGCCGTCGCAAAAAAATAACAGCAGGGTATATTTTAATGTGAAATTTACACAGCCGGGCAGAAGTACGTGGAAGATCGGAACTCTCAACAACATTGTATGAGTGGCTTGCCATTTCCTTCAGCCTGTACAAAGACTTGGATTTTGGTACCTATTAGAGCTAGCATTTCTAGCGCTTATCCAACATTCTACAAAAAATTCGTTGCAATTGGATAATTATTACAGCTAAAACGAAGAAAGTTCTGAACATTAAAGCGAGAAAGGAGCTCTGCTTTGATTGTTTTTGATAGTAGAAGCATGTCGATTGGGTCCTACATTTTCTTATGCCCATCTATCCTCTGGTGACAATTTATCTGATAGTTTTTGTTTGGATTGAGATCTGGCCAAGTCTTTTGCTGCTGCTGGGTTGGGCTGGGTAAATATTTAAAACAAACTGCTCAACTGCTTCCCCATAACTTCAACTACTGCTTCGACTAAACACGGATTGATTGCATTAACATATTGTTTTATACTTAATACATAGAAGTATATCGAATATATACAGAACTATGTATAGGTATATATATGTTGATATTATTATGCCAGAAATAATTTGAAAATTCTAAACATTGCTTATCCGCAAAACATAAAATATATGTATATGTATATAAATTTTGTATAAAGTGTTCTGTTTTTCTTCTTCCACTTATGCCTATAAATCATACAATTAATAAAAGAAATTAGATTTAGGCTTAAATTAGAGAAAATTACTTCTGAATCAAGATCGAATAATATATATAAAAAAAAACACATGTATGTAGTTGGAGCTACAGATACAGATATGAGGGGTAGAAAACTATTGGATAGATCGTCTATAAATACGTTAGATTAACTGAACACATTCTCAAACAACAAAATCAAAAAAAAAAGGAGTTCGTCCTCTCTTATTTCTGTCTGTTTTTCTGTGGCTTTCTCAATGTGTGTGTGTGTGTGCGTGTACGGTTGTTGTTGTTTTGTTGTTGTTGCTGTTGTTGGCAGATTTCTCAGTCTAAAATATCGAACCCACACACACACGCAAGACCACACAAAATCTGTAGCTGATGGTTACAAAAATTCATACGATACAATTACGAAAGAAATTCGAATGAAACTCGAACTAAAAACTAACGTACAAAATTAGATTTAACATTAACTAAGTGCGGTGGTTGTTGTTTCAGAGGGATGTTTGGGTGGTGTTGGGGGGGAACTATGGGAGTTTGGTTGATTTAGGTTCTGGGGAATTTGATGATTTTGTTGATTTTGTGGGCGTCACCGGTTGGTTATCATCCGAAGCATCCGCATCAGAAGCATCATTAGCAGCGGCACCAGCAGCACCACCGCTAGCAGGCCCATCATCAGAACAGGCAGAAGCACCATCATCACTAGCCTGACCCTCGCCTGTCGGCAGTGGCAGTAGCGGGGGGCGACGTGCATTTGCTCCGCTATTTGGCTGTGGCCTTCCGCATGGGCAGGCGGATGCAAGTGCGGCTGCCGCAGGATGTAGGCGACAGCAACCGGGTCCTTGCGGCCACCACTGCCAAAGCGCCGGAGGGATGCGATTAGGCGCGCCAGGGGCAGCGCCGCTGGCACGTTGTTAAAGCTGCTGATGATAGTGACTAAGGGACTGCAGCTGGTATTGATGGGGATGTGCATGTGGCACCAGCGGGTGCCCGTGCACATGGTTGTGGTGGTTGTGTGCATGCTGTGCCAGTTGTCGCGCCACATTCGCCGCCTGATAGTAGGTCAGCGATTGATAGGCTGCGTGCACGGAGGCTGCTGCTGCTGCCACTGCAGCGGCTGATCTGGGTATTACTGGTGGACCCACCATCGGTGTAGTTGTTGACGGTGGCATTGGCCCTCCACCCAGCAGGGGTGCACGTACAAAACCCAGTACGGACGGGGCTGAAGCTGTTGCTGCTGCTATTGTTGTTGCTGTTGTTGTTGATACAGCAGTTGTTGCTACAGCAGTTGTTGCAGTTGCTGCTGCTGCTGCTACTGCTGTGGGTGTGGCTGTGCTGGTTGTGGGCGTCTCCAGTAAATAATGTAGGGTTTTCCTGTGTAGAGTTGTTTTCCCTCCGGCCGAATCGTTGCTGGTTTTGTTGGTGTTGGTGTTGCTGCTGCTGCTGTCAATGCTGCTGCTGGTGATTGCTGCTGCTGTTGCTGTTGTTAGTTTGCTCTGTTGTTTTGCTTCTGAACTGCTGCCTGCATCTGTTTTCGATCCCGTTGTGGTGGCTGTTGCAACTGTCGTTGTGGTTGTGCCGCCGGCTGCTGCTGTTACCGCAGCCGCGGCCGCTGCTGCTGTTGCATTTGCCACTGCCGTCATCAGAGTGCAGGAGTCAAGTCTTTGTCATTTAGAATTGCTTTGGAGCGCCGCATTGATCTGTGTCCACAGTTCCTTCTTGCACGACTTCGATCTGTTACACAAAATAAATTAAAATTCGAAAACCGGTAAATAAAAAGCATCTATTTTCTTCTCCCATTAAATGGACCCCACCTCTTGATGGACTGCAGCCAGTCTTTGAACTGGGCACTGCCCTCCGGTGTTATCTGAAAAGCGGCCCTAGCGGCCACCACAATGCTGGCAAACTCCTCATAATCGCCCTGAGTCAGATGATACAGCTTCTGGTGTATGCACTGGATGTACCTGAGGGAACGAAACACAAAAATTCAGGGATCAAACATCAGGAATTCCTGGCATTGCCTGTTGTTCTTTCTACTCACATTTGCTGACACTTTTGCACAAGCGGCGTCAACGCCGAACGCAGATGCTGCATCACCAGCTGATGGTTATTCCTGCCCAGATAATGGGCCGACTCAATGGCCACATCGTGCAGCACAAACGGACTCACAATCGAGTTGACGGCACAGATGCAGAATTGATGGAGATACTGGGTGCCCAGCTTCTTGCTGATCCTCAGGAGCCATTTGACATCCTCGCCGTATGGCGGATTTCGGGCATATTTGGCCTGCGGACGATCATCGTGTACGCGTCGCGCCAGCGTCTCCATGGCCAGCATTCCCACATTGTAGGCGGCCAACAGATAACGCAATTGAGTGGATCTGTGGCAAAAGAGAACGATTTCGTTGACATATGTACCCCTAAATACATGGATAGATACTCACGTAAACTGATGTGGCTGACGCTGTCGCACTTGCGGCTGGGAGGGAGGTTGCTGCTGCTGTTGTTGCTGCTGGGGCGGAGGTGGTGGCGCCTGCTGCATGAATGGATACACGGGATGCTGATGCTGATGTTGGCGCATGGCTACACCCACGCCAACGGGCGGACCATTGGGCGGCGGTGGAGGCGGCGGTCCATAGTACCCTTGAGGTGGCCCCATCGGCGGTCCTGGAGGTCCCGCCTGCAGGGCCTGGTACGCCTGTGGTGGCAGTGCCTGGAACGCGCCCGGTGGTGGAGCCTGGAAAGCAGGCGGCGGCTGATGGCCCTGCACCGGATGACCCGGCGGCGCCTGACCAGACATCTGCACCTGTTGCTGCTGCTGTTGCTGCTGCTGTGTTGGCTGCTGTTGCTGCTGCGGCTGCGGCTGCTGCTGATATCCGGCATAGGCCTGGGGCGGTGGCGGTGGACCCGCGGAGATGTACATCTGCATCTGGCTCGGCGGATAGCTGAGATTGTGGTGATGCGCATAGATGCCCTGACAGAAGCTGTACGGCGCATACGGTGCCAGCCCGATGGGCGCCAAAGCGGCCACGCCCACACCTACGCCCACTCCAACGCCGGGCTGGAAGGCCTGCGGAGTGTTTACGGATGTTACCACGGGCGAGGGCACTGCCACGGACAGGGGACCAGCTCCTGGTCCTCCGGGATTTGACATTCCCAGCTGCTGCTGCTGTTGCTGCTGCTGCTGCTGTTGTTGTTGCTGCTGTTGCTGGGCCGCAGCCTGCTGTTGTTGCTGCTGCTGGTGAGCCGCAACCTGCTGCTGCATCTCGTGCTGCTGCTGGGATTCGATGAGGGCGCTCAAACTGACCGCCGAGTGGTCCATGGGATCCTCGTGCTGATCGTGCTCGCTGTTGTTGGGGGAGACGCGCAAATACAGCTCGTACCAGTAGCGTGCCACCTGGAAGAGCACCTCCGGATAGACGCCACCGCCCTTGGCCGCCGTCTCGACGGTGAGGCAGGCCCGTTCCAGCATCAGATCGCTCTGCTCCTTGCACTGCAGAATGGCGCGCTGTATCTCATTCGGATTGAGGGCGGCGGCATGCGGCAGCACGGACAATGCCAGCTCGGCGGCCGGATACACCATGTTGCTGTCCCAGCCGCGTGAAGCACGATCCGCCATACCAGCCGCCTCGGGCGGAGTCAAATGCGCCTCCCACGTGTCAATCAGGAAACTTATGGCCGGCGCTCCAATCTCCATGGCCTGGCCGAGTATCCACGAGACGTGCGAGGAGTACGTGCGCGACAGCCAGTTGGGGCTGACGCAGTTGTGCAGCCCGAGGGCGTAGAGGCCCAGCTGGAAGGCGCACATGTGCAGCGCCCGATGGGGTCCGTGGTGATTCTGGCTGGTGCTCGCCTGCGTGAACAGCGACGTGGAGCTGTTGCCGCCGGCCTTTGTCAGCACATTCTTGGCCAGTTCGAACATAAAGTGTGCGCTCGCCTCCGATGGTTGGTTGGGTATCGAGGGGTAGGCACGTTTGCCCTTGTATCGGCTCTCCTTGCTACGGCCGCTGCCATTGCTGCCGCCTCCGCCAGAGCCATTGGGATTACCATTGGGATTGCTGTTGTTGCCGCCGCCGCCGCCTGAGCTGCCTCCGGCATTGGCCCCCGTTCCAGAGTTACCCGCCTGTCCTCCTCCACCTCCTCCTCCGCCTGGTACCATGCCCTGTCCGGACTGGCTGCCCGCACTGCTGCTGGCCATGCTCAAGGCGCACATGCTCAGCTCCAGTTCCGCGCTGGTCGAGCTGTGTGGCCGGCTGTTGCCTCCGACGCTGCCATAGTCCGCCGGAAGCAGTTCGCAGAGATTGACAATGCCCGAGCCGGGATTGCAGCTTGATGATGCTCCTCCACCGCAGCCAGATCCTCCGCTTCCACCGCCTCCACCTCCATAGTCGTGCTCCTCGCGGCGTGAGGGCTGATTGCTGGGCGTCCGCACCGGGGGATTGCTGGAGTAGTATGCCGAGAGAAGCGGCGCCTTCAACAGGGTGTGTATATCCCTGTCCAGCAGCTTCTCCATGATCTTGGCTATCTTGCGTGGCTCATCCTTGTAGTGGTAGAGCAGCGATAGAGCCAGATCCCCGCGCTGTCGTCGCGTGCCCTCGCACAGCAGCGGATGCTCTGCCTCGGAGACATTGGCCTTCAGCCCCAGAGCGGCCACCGCGGCCTCAAAGCCCAGATTCTCGTCGTTGTTCTGCTTGTAGAGGAGCAGTCGTGAACTGCAGTTGACCAGGCTCTTGTTGGGCAGCGATCCCGCTCCCGAGGTGCCACTGGAGCCCACGCCGCTCTGCTGACTGAGCGTGACCAAAGCATCAAATATGAAGGTAGCCAGATTGATGGGCAGCAGTGCCTCGCCGCGGGTCTTGAATGTGCCGCTACGCAGCTGTTCGGCCCTCTCGCGTATCACCTGCAACTCGGCGGCGGCCAGGGGTAGCCGCTTGAGTAGCGCCAGTATGTCCGCCTCCTGATTGGCCAGCTTCACCTCCAGCGGCTTGGTGCTGGCCGGCGGCCTGGGCATTTCCAGCGCAAACAGGCATATCCGAAAGCCGATGTGATAGTGCTCCGAGTTCTCCGACAGCACCGTGCAGAGGAAGGCGCACTTGGACAGGGTGGCCGAGGCCACCACCGTCAGCTGATGGGAGATCGGATTCACGTTCTGCTTCTTGCCCTTCCGCTTGGGCACCGGCGGCAGCTCCAGCAACAGATTCGGGGGATTGGCCAGCATCTGTTCGGCCAGACGTACGGCCAGTATGCACGCCTCCTGACCATGTCCGTGGGCATGTAGTCCCTCGGCCCGGGCCAGCAGTATGTCCCACGCATCCTCTGTGGGCCGCACATTCGAGAAGATGTGGGGCTTGTCGTGGGCCACAGCCACCGCGGCAGCCAGGGCACGGGCTGCTGCAAAATTGGAGTGCGAGACGCTGCTGCCGCTGGGTGGATGGGGATTCAACGATGATCCTCCCAATCCCATGCCCATTCCTAGTCCTATGCCCATTGCCATTCCCATGCCGATGCCGATGCCTGCTCCTGGCAGGTGTGGCGTCTGCACAGCTGCCTGTGCCATGGCTGTGGCGCTGGAACCCGCGGCCAGTGCCGCTCGAGCCGCTGCCGAGGTGCTGGGCACAGGCGTTAGATCGCCTCCTGCTGGTATGGACACTCCTGCTCCCCCGCCGTTGCCGGGTGGCATGGCTCCGCCTCTGCCCACTGCTGCCTGGGCAAAGTCATCGCTGCTGCTGCTAAAGGACTCGTCCTTGCTCAGCCTTCGGGCTGGCTGCTGGGCGGCCACAACTGCCTCCTGTCCGGCCATCAGCATGGATGAGGTGGAACTATTGGAGCTGCCCGAAGCCGTCGATGCCGACGAGGAGGACGATGCAGACGAGGTATCCGAGGTGGAGCAAACTCCCTGCTCACCGGCTCCACCCACACCGCCGGCGCCTACTCCGCCGGGCCCCAGGCCGGGCTCGTCCTTGCTCTGCTGGGAGACGGCATCGAAGCTGCTCTGCGAATCGGACTCAGTGAGGGTGGACTTCTGGCCGGGCGCAGCCTGCGCCGGGGTGCAGTAATTGTGGCTGCTGCTGTTGTCGCCTCCAAAGTCGTCGTTCTCGCAGAATCCTTCGCTGCTGGCACTCGAACGATTGCCATCGGCACGACCAGCTGCCGCTCTTCGGACGCCGCCGCCGCCTCCTCCAACGATATTCGCACCCGTTCCAGATCCACTGGCTCCCGCTGAGGTGCTTGGCATTAGCTGCTGTGCGGCATCTGCATCGCCATTGGGCATGCCGCCACCTCCTGCGCCTGCTCCTCCGTTTGCAGCAGCCACTCCGCTCACACCGCTACTGCCTGCTGCGGCGGCCAGACCCAGTCCCGTTGAATATTGTCGACCCGCTCCGGCCAGGATGGCAGACGCCTCCAGGTCCGCGGGGCTGGCATAAAGTCGCTCGCGAAAGGGTCGATCCAGGCGCTGTTTGAAGGCGCCCGGATGCAGGCCACCGCCATGCTCATTGGAGGAGCTAAAGTAGTTGTAGTGCTTGTTGTTGCTCATCAAAGCCTGGGTGGCAATGAGCGTGCCTGGTGGAATGGCCGCGCCATCGCCTTTGATCTCCGTGTGCTTGAAGCAGGTGAATGGGGAATAGTAAATGGGATTCGTGTCGTGGGTGTGGGTAACGCCCGGTATTTGATAGTCCTCCCAGTCCAGATAGCACGCCTCAATGGCCGGCTTAAAGCCAATGAAGAGCTCCGTGTCGGAGCGTGAGTTTATCTGATGCTTGTTCGTGTACGAGGAGGGCATCATGCGGCTCTTCACCACCCGATCGAGTATCTTCAGATGCCAGGCCGTGAACTGGGCATGCAGCATGTCGCGCTCGTCCGGCGCCAGGCCGGGATTTAAAGCGGCCAGCCGCCACAATGCTACAATCTCATCGCACAGCGAACTGCACGCATGCTGCAGGGCCGTCGAATTGGAGTGCGTATTCGAGTGCTTGCCTCCGCTGTGGCCATGCGAGCCCATCATCAGGGCCAGCTTCGTTTGGAACCACCAGATGAGTATCTGATCGCAGGCCATACACTCCTCCGTGATGATCTCCAGCAAACGTACCGCATTCCGATCGCAACGCCTGTACATCTCCCTCACAATCGACAACAGATTCCACATGCCCTCGGGCTCTCTGCCGCGCAACGGTCGCAGCAAAGAGCTCCATTCGGCAGCCGCTGGGGGAGCCGAATTGGTCAGATAGTTGACATCACTGCAGAGGAGAGAGGGAGAGGGAGATTAGAGATTAGAGAGGTCCCTAGGACTAGGACAAAGGGTTCTTCGGACTATACCTAAACACAATGGGTGCGGGCAAACAGAATTTGATGAGTATCCGCTTGATGTTGTTGTGCAGCGTCTTCTCGTCCAGATACCAGCTGGTTTGGTCATTAATCGAGGCACCCGCCGTCGGATCTGGTGCCCCGCACACCGTATTGATGGCCGTCGGCTGGGCACTCAACAGCTCGTCCAGGAGCCGCTGTGCTGTGGGCAGAATCTGCTGCGGCAGCTCACTGATTAGATATTGGGCAAACTTCTGCAGCTGATCCCTTTGGAGACGTGTCAGGGACTCTGAAACAGGAGCACGTAGGCAGACCTCCTGCGGCTGTACAGAAAATAAGAAAATAAGTTTTATGGGGCATGTGTCTGGTGTGTACAATGGGGAGACTCACGCAATGGATGCGATGCAGACAGACTGCCACCACATGGGAGCACCAGTAGGCCGACGAGGTGCACGTACAATTGCAGGAGGAGATGCGACGCCGATCGAAGGTCACCGCCACATTAAAGTACGCACGCGGCGTCTGATTAACCACGCTGGCCGACAGATGAAAGCCTGTGGGAGCAAAATAAGCCTTTAATCAGCACTTCCGTTAGAGCAGGAAAGCAATTAAAATCTTACCTATCTGCAGGGGATCCTTGACAGCTCGCATGCGAAACAGTTGATCGCCACGATTGAACTCATCCGCCGAGCTATTGGCCAAGCAGGAGTACAGCCGTATGTCCTCCTCATTGTCGGGGAAACTCCAGAATGCGATGCGCAGCTGCAGTTGCTCCGGCACTGGTGGGTAGACATGCTCCACCAGCTCGAATGGTATGTAGGAGGCGACACAGCGGGCGGACAGTTCGGCCAATGTGGAAACCTCTGCGGGTATGGCAAAAAACAAAACAAAACAAAGGGAAAAATCAATTAAATGTGTCGGAAAAACAAAAATGTTACCTCAAAGGAGGCAAAGGTGCTTTGCCAGTCTCACAAATTCTAGGGAATTAAAGGACATTCCCCAAATTACATTCCACAAGATGATAGGGAGAGAGATCAAATGAAATGAAAATTACATTTAAATTTTAAGTTAGCCCCACAAATACCGTTAATATTAAATCATATGTTATAAATTTCCAGAGGCTTAAGTGAAAGCAATTCTAAGACCCCTCCCCGTCAGTATATGTACGTTCGAGAACAGCGGATAAATGTTACATACAATATCCATCCCATTCCAATATTACTCTGACAATTTTTAATTAGTGTAATTAAAGGAAAAACCGAATGCAAATGCCTGCCCATATTAAATTATTAAATGAAATTTCCCAGTCCGACTCATAGGTGGCCGCAATTCAAGGACATGCCATTTTAGAGCGAAGAGAGGAAAACAAATCAAATGAAATGAAAGATTTATGCTCATTCGCGCGGCGTTGCCATCCAGTACAAGTAGCTGTAAATAAAAGGACAACGGTAATCGGCATCGCTCTCTTCAAATTGCAATGCAAAAATGAATTGGAAAGGTCAGCATTTTTATGCTCTGGCGGCATTGCCAAACGGGAGAGTAGTATCATTGATTAAGGAGAATCAGAAATGACTAATTCCACATCTCTCTCCTTCTCCCTCACTCTCTCTTTCTCTCACACAATAATTAAAGGCAACCAAAGCAGAGAAAAGCCACACGCACTCTCTCTCACACACAGTGAGACAGACAGAAAGACATGACAGACGGACACACATACACACATGTCAGACATTTATTAATTAAAGAACTTTTTATATGGCGCACGGCCAATGACCAGGAGAGGCCAGAGCGCAGTCCGAGAAGAATGGGCATAAGAGCAGAGAACACAGAGAGGATAGAGAAGAGAGCAGAGCAGTGAAAAAGAGAGAGGTCAACAATGTGATGGTTGTCTCTGCTTCTTCGTTTGTACATACATATGTATACCGCCTGCATGCCTGTGCGTTTGTGTGTGCGTGAGTATCTTAGCCACGCATTTTTAGCCCTCTATTTGTTGTTAGGTGCTTCTCTCTCTTTGTGGACGTTATCTGTGCAGCAAAATTGAGTTGCACATAGATAAACAAAACAAACAAAAATTCAGCGAATTGGCATGCAAATAAACAAATGCAAAAGGCATTTGCTAGTCGACGTAAAGACCAACCCAACAATGGCCTGCATTTTAAAGGTCTCGTTCCCATTAGTTTGCTTTAAAGCTCAGAAGTAAAAATAAAAAAAAATCAAAAGCCCCCACGAGCAAATACAAAACAAAGAAGCAGCAGAAAACAGAACTGAAAGAAGATAAGTTTTCTTGTGTGTGTTTACCAAAAGGAGTGTTGGGGGGAGTGCAGCAACAACAACCAGAAACCTGCAACAACAACAAAAGTTCAAGTTCGCCCACGCAAAGAGAGAAGGTGGTGGCAGATTTAGATTAAGAAAGAGACAAAAAGCGAGTCTCTGAGCGGCAGAAGGTCGAGTCATCTAGAGAAAGAAGAGCATTTAAAATTTGACCGGAGAAACCAGATCCGAAAGCTTTCACTAATCATAATGGGTTAATGGACGGACTCCACTCTAGAACTTGGAGAGCACATGACCCAGCAGCCATAAGCCATGCTCCCATCATAAAAGCTCTCCTAACGGACAGGACTAAATGTTTTAGAAGCTATCTTACTTCTTGCTCTCTCTTCAGCGAACTTTCTTATTTCATATTCTTAAACACAAGAAGCAGGGACAGAGTCATAGGCCATACTCTGTTGTAATTATATCATTTCTTGTTTTTTTTAAGTTTTCTAATCTCCAATAATAATATTAAGTTGAGAAAAAACAATTTCTGAACAGAAAACTATTTACACAAAGAGCCACTGTATTTTCGATACTGCAGTTATGTATGCAGCTACTTTAAAATCTGTCATCTACATCTCTCTTCTTACAACTCCGTCACGAGTAAGAGTGTGTGTGAGCGAGAGAAAGAATGAGTAGCACTGCATCGCTGGAAGGGATCGGGATAGCAGCTTAAAATTAATTTCTTCATTCTAGCTACATATAATGATATCGGAGATTCGGCAATTTAGTAGATAGGGTTATTCTATACGATACCGTGTTTTCGGTTTTTCGTATCTTTAAAGTTGTGGATGCCACAGAATTTCGTCCTTTTGTGGGTGCGGAATGGGGCGGGGCAGAAAAGTGGGTACATATACATTATACATTATTATGGGGTTTCTTTTGTGCGTTACACACATCCACTTCGACCACAAATCTAATATACCCCTTAACTCTTCGAGCACGGATATACAAAATATTTTAACCATCCTGCGGGAAAAAACATCAATCTCTGGGCCATTAATTAATCAGTCGAAATCAATTTAAATTTTAAAATAGACCTACTAGATTTACCATATCAATTGCGCAGTTGGGACAATAGTTCAATTACAGTTCTTTATTAAGGATGTTACTCGTAATTAGTTTGTGGTAAGCAATATAAACTATTCCGACGATTTTCCACCGCCCCCACAATAATATGTGCATTTTATTGTTGAATATAAAATGACATGTCCCAAAAAAAAAGATCCATAGATACTAGAAAAGCTGCCGATGGTATTTGCTGGTGTTCGTTGATATTTTGCTAGCCGCTCGAAAAATATTTTAGTGTTCTATCTTCCGCCAGGTACCGTAGCAAACACAAACGTAAACATTTAAAAATGAGAACAGAAAACCAAATGAAATATTTAAATAATGAAGACAAATTGAATCTAATTAAGGCAGCTATATGAAGGACAATTATATGGATATTATAATTTATTATTTTTATGAATTCTTATGAATATAAAACAAATATTGTTTTCAAAATATGTTTTCAACACGGTGGTCGGTGGCGGTTGCACGGGATGCGTCGCCATCTGCTGCTTCTGATACAGACACATTCCTTTGGCAATAAATATTTTGGAGCCCAGGATATGTCTTGGGAAGAGCGACCCCAGGCGAACAAGTGCAATTCATTATCTTTGTTTACTTAAAACAAAACCAAACAGCTGTCTGAGCAGTGTAACCGTAGGGTATGCAGTGCACACCTTTGGTTACACCACTGACCGCTAGAAGACTATATGAATTTTTTTTTGCTAGCAAACAGTTCTTTGAATTACTAGGCTTTAGCTTAAAATATTTCAGCCCTGTTCGCCTATCTTGTGAACTATCACCACTAGCAACAACAACAACAAAACATGTTTACAATTAAAAAATGGAGGGAAAATGTAAATTTGCATATAGTACCTAAAAATAATACTTTTAGCCAATATTATCATAAGATGTGAGATTGATATGACTTAATTTAATTAAGGCAGTCGAATGAATACCGATTATATGGATATTATTATTTATTAATCTTATATCCGGTCTGATTTTAAAAATTTAAAAGGAAATAAAAAGCATGTTGATCGCATTTCTGTCCCGCTGGATCGGATTTATTCAATATTGCAGTGTGCATTGTCGTAATCCAGCTCCACAGCACCCACAAATAAGATATTACTGCTTGCTTTAATGCAAAATTTGAAATTTTCACAGATTTCTGTTTCTAAAGCCTAGAATTCAGATCCAAACGAGAAGGAACGTGTGAGTCGCTTCTGGGGACGCGACTCTACTTATACCCGTACTCAGTCAGTATACACATTTTTGAGCATGATTTTTTAGAATTTTAGAATTAAAAAAAAAAATTTACATATTTAGTTTTTTTGCTACATCTGTTACTTACATCTACATCTACTATGAATATTATACATCAACATGTAGATTATAAATTTATTATTTAGCGAGCGAGAAAGAGAATTAGCATTCAGATTCAGCAATCTGGTAGATATGGTCATTCTCTAGGATACTGCGTTTTTAGTTTTATCGTATCTTTAAAATTGTGCCTGTCACAGATTTCCGTCCTTTGTGGGGCGGAAGGGGGTGGGGCGAAATTTTGAAATACACTTGTAGCAGTGTGATATCACATAAGTCTGGAAACCAAATTTGGTTCCTCTAGCTTTTATAGTCTCTGAGATCTAGGCGCTCAACAAGACGGACAGACAGATGCTGATCAAGATTATATATACTTTATGGGGTCGGAAACGTTTCCTTCTCTGCGTTACACACATCCACTTTTACCACAAATCTAATATACCCCTTAACTCTTTTTTGAGTACGGGTATAAAAAGGTCGGTATATACTAGAAAAGTATCCGAAGTATTTGCTGGTATGTTTCTACCCACCTCGAAAGTTATATCAATTTGATATATTTTGCCAGCAAACAAGAAGCAAAAATTGCAATATGAGAACAAAAACCAAATGAAATATTTAAATAATGAAGACTGCCTGAACAGCCTTCCGATTATTCTGTGCTTAGAAAAAGAGCCCAAAGTATACGGCTATACAAAACTTAGCTTTAAAAACGCCTCGTTGTTTTCGGGTACATCTATCTCCCAAATGTCCCAAACCGCTTCTCAACAAACATAGAATATATATTTTTATTTAAAACATTGATTGGATTTAGTAGAAGCAGTCACAAATGACCAAGCATCAGTGTTTTCAAAACAAATATCCATTCCAATAAAAGTCTCCTCGTCAATGTTAGCCTCATTATCATCATCCATGTCCAGCAACATGATTATCTTAGATTGCAACCATTGCAATGTTATTTATATTCATATTAATTATAAATATGAAAAAATTTTCACCGCATGCAATTGTGAGCATCAGCTGTTTCTCATGGATGGTGGATGATGTCAGTGTAAATCGGTTTTACACATCTATCCAAAATTCCCACCGTTCCCCCGGGATGGGCTCAGTGTGCAGAGGGCATTATGCCCATGAGAAACAGCTGATGCATGCGGTGAAAATTTTTTTCACATTAAAATTA